CAGTGCTGAATTTCCCTTCCCACCCACTGCTCCTGGTGAAGGACCATACTGCACAGCCTGTCCCACCCAGAGGTAACATGGACACATCACTGTCCATCACATTTTGTCTTGGGCTGCCTGGGAATGATCCCATCTGATCTGCTGAGCTGGAATACAGGAAGAAACACAGGATTTCAGTTTTTAGCATCATGAACACTTGCCTTTTGTAGCCAGGTTACTTAGGCCAACTGCTGGCTTTAGGATTCATACTGAAATATAAAAATAGGGTTCCTGAAGCAATTAGTGCTTATAAGTACATACAGGATAAGGCCTGGGAATCTCGATGTTGATCCAGATGGGTCACTGTCTTTACGCTGTAGGATGCCTCGCTCATCTGTATGGTCCGATAGTTTAAAAGTGAAACATTTATCAAAATCTCATTACTTTGGAGAGGATGGGAACTCATGGATTATAAACCTTAATTTATTCTTTATAACTTAAATTATGGTGCCGTATCTAAGCCATAAATTTTTACAAAACAAACTGCTGATGCATTTGAAAGACACAAATAAATACTCTCAGCACTGTGACAGAGCAGTGATGGAGAGAGTGAGCAGGTGCGTGGGGTGAGGATGGCAGAGAGGTGGTGATGGCACATTGCTTTTGGAACTGCTACTCTTGTTGTTTTTGCAATAAGATGCCTGTATTTACTTGGAGGAGAGGAGAGAAGGTTAATGATATCGGTTCCTGGGAATACAGGCACTCCCCAGTGACTGAAAGGGAATATTCCTGGACCCACAGATCATCATTTCACTCCCAAGTGTCTGCTAGCAGAAAGACATGCCTGTCTGCTTTCAGTTTAATATCATCGCAAAGTCCTGATTTATTAAATGGTGTCAGACTTCTCGACAGTCTTTAAGTCTGTGCTCTATAGGTTTCTCTCGGTGGTGTAGGAGGCTGAAATGGCTATCGGTGTACAAGAGAGTATTTTAAATTGAGCAGCACTAAATAGCCTGATCCTGCAAATCTAGGATCGTGCAGTTTATTTCAGAGAGACTGGTCTTGCCAAGTTTTGTGTACCACTTAAGGGGAAATCTTTCCCACTGAGACCAAATGATTTTTGAGGGTGAGAGTGATAAACCCCTTGAATCCTTGCTAGATAATGCCCATACCTCCCGGGACAGGGCTCAGGAGATTTATTCAGTTGTATCATTTATAAGAGGTAGGGTTTGCTAAAGCACAAGACAGACAGAAAGCTCAAAAACTGTGTCAGAAAGATTTGACAAGTAAAGTAAAATGAAATACAGCCATGAAACCTGTGATGGGACCAAGGGTAGGGGTCAACACTGAATTAATTTAGTATGACTACTTCATTAAGTATATGGATAATAAGGGATTGTTTCTGAAGTATTTTACTCTGGATTATTTTATTTTATTCTGGATTATTTTATTTTATTCTGGATTATTTTATTTCTGTATTATTTTTGCCCTGGTTACACTGGTCATTTACAGTGGGACTCTTCCTCTAATACAGTCAGAATAGCATTGTTTCCAGAGATAAGACACGCAAAGTGAAGGTGATACAGATAGATAATTATAAATACATCTTCTTTGTTTCATGGTGTGGACAGTCTTCCCGTGAAGGTCACTCTGACAATGCTCCAGGATGTACTTGTGGAGCTGGTGACTTGTGCAACGAGAGGCCAAACGGCATAATCAGATCTTACATCTGGGTGCTTGCTGTCAGGGTTTCAGGAAACTTCTTTTGCTCCGTGATAGACCTGTTCTCACTGGGCAACGGGAAGAGCCTATGTGACTGTTGAAACAAGAGTGGAAAAATATGTATCTGGAATATGCATTGCTTTATCCTGCCAAGCCAAGTGTTTATTGTGGAGGCCAGACACATCTGTCCTCCTCCAACAGATATCATGGTGTTTCTTGGATTAAAAAGGCCGACTGTAGTGGAACAGTGGAAGAAATTGCTTCAGAAGACTGACTTACTGGAGTCCTATATCATATGGACCCTGTCAAAAAAATACTAGCCACAATAAAAACTGACACTTGGGGAGATGAAAGCAATATTGCTTGATATTGTGATTACCTTTATGGCAACATGCTCAAGGTGGGCAGTGGGGAATTGAGTCCTTTCTTTCTTTGACCTGGGCAGTCAATATGATTACTTTGGGGATTTTTTTTGTTTTATGTAATAAACCGTCTGTAATGAAAGTTTAAAAAAAAAGTAGTTTTGGGAAAGAGACTGGAGACATGGATTGCAGACAGCTATTTGGGTCAAGGGGTTAGGTTTTTGCCAGGCTCCAGATGGGGACGGAGAGGAGGACAGGGGCTGGAAGTGATTCTGAACCTGATCCCGTCTACATTGCACAGGCAATAAGAACAGCATCAATGTAGTGAGCTGCACCTGATGTGAAGTTTGGCAAGAGAGAGGTCGATAAATGCATTATTCCCTGTATGGGGTATTTCTGAGAATGCTGCTTACGAATGTGTGTTTGTTCTGAAAACTTGCAGTAAGTGTGAATAACAAAACTCATTACACTATCTTTGCATTTTCATGCCCTTGCAGATTTACTGGAAGATCTTGGAAAACAGCAGCTTTGGCGGAACAATTTCGTTATATCAAGGATAAGGAATTTTTGCTGGAAACTTGACAGGCACCAAATCACTTTCTCATATCCAGTTCTTTCAGTTCCTTCTGTGGATAGCCTAATACTTGCTGTGGACAGTTTTATGTGCACGGCGTGTTTTAATGGTAGATAAAACCCCAAACAAACCCCACAAAAGACCAAAACCAGCCTTACCCTGTATGTTTGGCTTATTTTTGGAAAACCTTGCCCTGTTCAGGTGCCCTTGCTCATGCACGTTGTGCCAAGCACATGCTTCTGTATCTTCTGCCATCAGCTGCCTGGCATATTAAGAGTGAAAGCATTGAAGACGAGAAGAGTTTTGTGATTTTTTGCAAATGGTCCTGAATTTACAGCCCTAGTGTTTCTTCAGTATTCTTGTAATACTGATATGGCATGATGGGGTGGAACAGTAAATTGTCATGACCAATGTAATGTGTTGACAGTCTGACATCTAGGGATTTACATTGAGCACAGGTTACCGCTAATGGGCAAAATGAGAAATTATAACTTCTAATGGGTCAGATTAATTTGATGTACTTCCAAGTCTGTATAAAAACCATCAGATGCTTAGCATGTATCAAACAATACTGGCACATTATTTGATTTTTGTTTCTGGTTCCTGGCATCAGCAGAAATAAGATTTACCTCCTCATTTATATAGCACATAAAGCTTACATTATAAGTTAACCTAGAGAGTGGCCCAGCAATTTGTAAAGTATATGGGCTTAAAAATAACTCTGTTTGTTATGAAATAGGACATGATGCCATACAACGGTATTACAGCAGCTTAGTGGCGCTTGTTCAGAAGAAAGCAAATTATGATCATTTGCTACACAATAATGGATGTTCTTGGTTATTCCTGGGCCCCTCAGGTCCTAGAAAAATGAAAGCTAGACCTGAAGCAGCCTTACATTGCTGTTCAGATTTGCAATTCAATGACAATGTCTCAAATACTATAAGGTATATTTAAACACAGTGCAAAGGTGAAGGGCCAGTTCTGCAGGGTGCTGAGTGCCTCTAACTGCATTGAAGCCAAGGTGTACCAGGGTGCTCAGTGTCTCCTTGAGCCCCCCACCATACCCTGAGGCACACAAGTTTCTTTCGGTGCAAGGAAGCTGCAGGATGTTTGCAGCCTGTGGATCTGCACTGAATACGCTGCACTGGCGGGAGGTTTATGCTCCAAGCTGGGGTGGTCCTGCAGCTGGTTACAGGCACCGACAGCGCCGACGAGCCAAGCAATACAAGACTTGGGTGTTAAACTGCAGAGTGAGGGCTGTGATATTTTCCAATAACTGGCATCGACCTTCGGAGCACAGTCCACATTACTGTGTCTACCATGTCCTGGTTGGGACAGGATCAGCCCCCACGTATTACTTTCCAAGCTGAAAATCTTAAAAAAACATTATTGATGCTCTCCAACTGCACTGTCAAAAAATGGCTCTCCAGTCTATTTAAAAATCTCAGCTTTTAAAAATCTTTTTAATTTCAGTTAAAATTAAAATATGTTAACATTTTGCCTTTTCCTATGCTTTTGGTTTGGGCTCAGAAGATAATTTCATATGTTACTGTAATTTTTTTCCAGAAAAGCAGATGCCTTCTCTAGTCCTCTACAAAAGCTTTATGCCACAATAATTTAAGATTTCCTCCAGGTTAGAATATTTCTGCATGTAAAACCTCTTTGAAGGTTTAAATAGACTGTAACTGAGTTTTGACATGTATTAGCACGTGTCAAGTACAGCAGTTATTAAGGGTAGTGGAGACAAGACACATTCCATCTCTCCAGCGACTGACTCGCAGGTGTCCAGATCACTACAGGCCACAAGCGGGCAAAGCCACTAAAAAAAAAATCACCCTTTGTTGCAAGAAGCATTAAAAACTCCCTTTACCAGCCCTTTCAGCAATAGATCCAGTGAATGATCAGGTGAGGAATAAACTCTAGTTGCTGTCTTACAAAACCATGCCCCAAGACTGTGACTGGGAAAATTGCCTTTTTATTCCTTATGATGTAATTCTTCTCTGCATCTCTTGTAAGGTTCTGTATCCACCCAGAACATATTTATAAACTGTATCAAAGCATGCTTTTGCACAGGATGATCTGCATTAGTTCAATGGGATTTACTGAATTCTGTCCTGTGCCTCTTCTCTTGTGTGTGAGCTGAATCTGTCTGCATCCAAACGATTCATAAGAGAGAAATCAAGTTTGCCATACTGATGGATGTTTTTAATTCTTTAATTCCTTTCATTCAAATATAATGTCGTCTCTCCCATAGCAGAACTAAAGCAGTGTGACATGCAAAAGGAAATACTCAGGACTTGATACTTTTTGAAGCATAACGGGTTTAAGCAAAGCCAACTGACTTTCTGCACTTCTCTTTCCAGGGCACAGCTTCTGTTCTGCAGCGCCGGTCTGACAACGAGGAGTACGTTGAAGTTGGAAGACTTGGTCCATCGGATTATTTTGGTAAGAAAATTCAGCTTAAGTACGGTTCAGAAAGACAGGCACATGCAGTTGTATCAAGTTGTTGTTGTCTTAATTAGTGTTCTCCTCTTTTACAAGCGAGGGGTTATGCGTAGGTCAGCTGCTGCTTTCAGCAGTACTGAGAGATTTCAGTGAAGCTGAAACCATTCCTTGGTTTACACCAGTGTAGCTGACGGGAGACAGATCCAGAATCAGCAAAACAGTCTGAAAGCATTTGTTTTCAAAGGCATTTTACACGCATGCATTATGCATGTGTAATGCATTTGTACTGTCAACAGAATTATGTAAAGTGTCTATCAAGATAGATATAAAGGGAGATGTTCTACAACCAAAGCAACTGGATGGTGGCTAGAACACGCACTCTCCGAAAAAGAGGCACAGGGCGTCTGACAGTGTATTTATCCCTATTTCCAGGTGAGATAGCGCTACTGCTCAATCGGCCCCGGGCTGCTACGGTGGTGGCACGCGGACCCCTGAAGTGTGTAAAGCTGGATCGGCCCCGCTTTGAACGAGTGCTCGGTCCTTGTTCCGAAATCCTCAAGAGAAACATTCAGAGATACAACAGTTTCATTTCACTCACCGTCTAAATGGTTCCTTTTGGAAAGCTGCCTTTGTGTGACCTTGTGCACTTAAATTTGCTCTGTGCAGCTCCATAGCTTTATGAAGAAAAAAAAAGTGTGCATTTTATGTGTATTTTTTTTGTTTATGTCACATAGTGGATGTCAGTTCAAATCTCATGTATCATGTAAGTAGGAAGACAACTGTTTGGATAAGACTAGCTTTGGGGAAGATTAGCCTCTTGGCTTGCAGGCAAGATTTTTACCTATTGTTGGATTTTATAGCTTAAAACTGTGTTTTTAACTATTTAACATACATATGAATTTCTATTTCCCTCATTATCTTTAAAGTTGGTCTTATTCACCTTTTGTCAAGCTTCTTTGATCAAGCGATGTCCCTCTGCCTGTCGCTTTCAAAAGACTTTTCACTGGTTACGGACCGGAGGTTTCTGAAATCCCACAGGATGAGTGGCAGTCGCGCGCAGTTTAAGAGGGAAGGTCGGAGGAAGGTTTTGATCATTCCAGCAAGCCAGGGAAAAGTAGAGCTTTTGAGTCATTTTATTTGTGGCTTAGATACAGGGGCCATATTCCTCCGTGTTACAAGCCCTTTCAGGTCTGCTTTGTAGGATCTGCTAAGACAAATAGCCCACTCCAGTCTTCTGGATGAAGAGGTCAAGGAACAATGGTTTGTAAGAATTCAGATGGTGCCTTTAGGATCTAAGTTATTTGTCCTCAGCTTTTTTTAAATGAGGGTTTGCATTAGATCCCTTAAAAGTCCAATGGGAACTTCTCTGCTGAATTAAGTGGACTTCGAAACATATTTATCTGCAGCAGAGTGTCCTCAGCAACTTCTCTGAATATTATATGAAATGCTGAAGAGATGGTGCCAGGTGTACATCAGGGGCAACAACAGCAGTTTGTTTTTAATAAAGTCCACTTAATTAAAATCAAATGCCTTTCTTTTAGTATATGGCAAAATTTTAGGATTTTCTAGGGTTTTCTGAAAGCCAAACACATGCTTCAGAATGCTGCCTCTCCTCCAAAAGACGTGTGTTGCATAAAAAAAGCACCAGGATCTTGCAAGAAGCTCCTAGAGCCCAGGTCCCTCCAGGTGCGTGCAGCCTCACTGGCAGGTGTTGCTGCCCTGCCTAGACATGGGTCTCCTCTTGAATGGACCTTGGTGCAGATCCAGACCTTGCTCTGCTGTGCAGCCCTCAAGGATGGGATCATTTAGATTATTCTTTGGGAAGCTCTTCCTTTGAAGGAAAACTTGTCTTTGCTAACAGCAGCAAAGGTCTGCATCTCAGCTACCTTAAATAGCACTGCCCACTTTTCAGTTGTGGCAAAACTCTGTTTCTTCTTTATGATAACATTCTTGTGGGTAAATCCGAACTTTCTGTACCTTTTACATGCCAAAGGTTACGCAATGAAATAAGGCAGCAATCTCCCTTTTGAAACTAGAGGTGTTAGTGAAGAACATGGCTAAAATTACTCCTACTGACGTGCAGTGTGCTTTCGTCTTTGGAATTAACAAAAACTAACTTGGGACTTTCCTATCGACTCCCACCAAGAGGGCCCAATATTCCAGTAGCTGCCCACAGTGGTTCTTACAGAGCTGACTGCTTCTCCACTTCAGACTCCTCTCATCACTTCAAGGTGCTTAATTTATTTCAGCATATTTTCAGTGGTCCTGTCAGGGTATATTTGTTGCTACTATTTATTATGATTATGTTATGCTTCTTGCACGTGTTATTAAATATGACCATTCACATTTTTCACCCTTGCAATTTTTATCATGTACGTTTATATAGGCCATTATATATATAGATAAATGTATATGCATTTGCAAAACTTTTTATTTGCTTCACTGGTTTTGTATTCTCTTGTGCAATTTTTGAAAGAAATGGGTTTTAAAGGTTACCAGCCACTCATGTATGTTCTTTTACCTATTGCATTTCTGTTGTATTGGTAAAAAATTGTGAGTGTTTCACATAATACGCAAGATACATTTCTTGTTAAACTCCAAGTGTTAGCCTCACTGTTTAGAAGTCACTCGAGCACACACACCCCGCACAGATTCTTTACTTTAAACTTTTACAGCTCATGGAAAATATATTTGAATTATGGTTCTGTTATAAGCAAGCTCAAGAGAAGTGTAACCATTTAACACCAGGATTCCTATGCTTTAAGTGGAACAAAATGATATTCGATGACATTTTAAAGATAATTGTAATATTTGCAGTGGATGATGGGACAGAATTACGGTATGAATAAAATTCTTCTACATTATATGTGGCCGTTGTGGGTTTATTAATAATGGGAGTCTGTATGAATAGAAGTCATGTTCTAGTTAAAATCTGCATATCATAAAAAGTTTGAACTCTACTGAAAATAATCAGATGCAAAGGGACAAAAAATAGACCAAGAATCCCAGTGCTATATATAGTAATGGAAACCAAACTGGTTTTCTGGAGGATTAGCATGAAGAAAAAAATTTCTTGTGTTTAAATGTAACCATATATGTCTACACGAAGACGTAGGGGTTCAAGGTGTCTCTCGGACCTTCATGCTGTTGTTTAGGTGCCGGTTCAGCCTGGCATTTAAGCACATGTGGAACATGACGTATGTGAGCTGTCTCGCTGGTCATAGGGACCCTGTGTAGAGCTTCAAAACCCACGGGGCTGCTGCTGAGTCTGCTGTACAGCCAGCAGGAAGAACTGGGGAAGAACTCTCTTTCTCAAATATCAATGCTTTTCCTTTATCCCCCCAGTATCAAAGACAAAGCCCATGGCCCCGACCACACTGGGGATCTGTCCCAATCGTTCCTCTCAACTTCTGGTCATGCGTGGATTTTTAGAAGCGCAGCTGCCTTGGGACTGAAGCACAAAGCCATTTTTGGCACCAGAGATGTACTGTGCTGCTGCCATGGCTTGTGTTCATGCAATGGGCTGGCCAAGAACTACACTGACAAACAAGACAAGAACTACAAGACAAACTTCTCAGAGAAGGCAGAGCTTCCAAAAGAACCACCTGTATCTCCTGCATCAGGGTGAATGCATGGGTTGAAGGACTGGTGAGTACGGTTTCTGGGTGAGGAAGAGGTGTTTAGCACGTTGTTAGTGCCACACTACCTATGGTATCCACCAGAGCTCTGGGTGGCCACATAAGTAGGTACGTTGTGGTCCAAGCTTGGCTCCGGTGCTGGAGCCGTCACCCCAGAGCAGTGTGCAGAACTTGTGGATTCACTCCACGCAGCTTCTCTGTGGTGGCCCCCGCACAGGAATCTTGGGCGGCTCCCGGCATCCAAGGGCTGTCCAGCTTTCCATTTTTGGAGTGTGTTATTTTTCCCCCCTTTGCTATGATTCAGGCGGGAAGGACTCGTCTTTCCAGAGAATTACTCACATTATGTAGTAATCAAAAGTGACCACTCTCTCTGAGGTTCTTCCAGAAGGACATTACCAGCCCACGCTCTCCAGAAAAGAGCATCTCACCACTCCTCATTGTCATTCTTTTTTCGGTTGGTTTTAATTGTCGCAGCCATTTCAGGACTTCCAAGACAAAAGAAAGGACTTTTTTTTTTTTTTTAATAGAAACTAATTGTACCTCCAGGTTTTTTACGAGGCCTATGTGGCTGACCAGGCTTTAGTGTGTGTATCAGATTACTGTGAGCTGCCTAAGGCATTCCCACTGCTTTGTGGCAATGGGTGCCTGAAGTTCTGGAGTCGTATGAACCTCGTGAATCCCTGATCCTCAAGCGAGCACAGTCTGCCACCATGTTATCTGTTCAGGTGTTGGTGGAAAACAAGAGCTGTTGCAGAGAACAAAGTAATCCCAGTGCACGCCAGCTTGGTTGTTGGCTGCTGGTTTGTTTTTGCAGTAAGTGGTCTTCAGAAGTGGAGTCACCGCACAAAGGGTGGCATTTTTTCTGTTGTGAAGGTTGCACGAGGTGTGTGCATCGCATTCAGTTTTGAAGTCTTAAATAGTGCATAAATCCTTTCACTGCTCTATTTATGGAAGAGATCACGTTTGCTCTTTGCACACATTTCTGTGCAGCAGCCAAGAAAGAGAATATTATCTTGTGCAGAGGCAAAACCATGATGATCTTGAGAGCCAGAGATCCTATTGCTTGCTGTTCATGCAGTGCCACATGAATACAAAGACTGTTGCAGGTGGATGGGAGTTAGCAGAGCAGGAAGACTTTTTTTGCTGTTGCACCGTTGACCCAATGGGCACTAGGTGGTTTAAAAGCTCACACTTCATAGAATCGTAGAACCATTGAATAGTTTGGGTTGGAAGGGACCTTTAAAGGTCATCTAGTCCAACCCCCCTGCAATGAGGAGCAACATCTTCAACTAGGTCAGGTTGCTCAGAGCTCCATCCAACCTGACCTTGAATGTTTCCAGGGATGGGGCACCTACCACCTCTCTGGGCAACCTGTTCCAGTGTTTCACCACCCTCATCGTAAAAAATTTCTTGCTTATATCCAGTCTGAATCTACCCTCCTTTAGTTTAAAATCATTACCCCTTGTCCTATCCTGTCCTATAGTATGTCCCTACTAAAAAGTCTGTCCCTGTCTTTCTTATAAGCCCCCTTTAAGTACTGGAAGGCCGCAATAAGGTCTCCCCGCAGCCTTCTCTTCTCCAGGCTGAACAACCCCAGCTCTCTCAGCCTTTCCTCATAGCAGAGGTGTTCCCCCCTCTGGTCATTTTTGTGGCCTCCTCTGGACCCGCTCCAACAGGTCCATGTCCTTCTTGTGCTGAGGGCTCCAGAGCTGGACAAGGTACTCCAGGTGGGGTCTCAGTTGATATTTCAAAGACCAGCTCACCATTTAGCGACAGAATTATCTTCTCTTACATTCCCAGGCATGTTTTTTTAATTTGTTTCTAATGATTTGGCAACTCTGACTGGAGCTCATTTTTGCCTTCTTCAAATGCACACGACTGCTCAGAAACTCGTAAGAGTGTTTCCACAGCCAGGGTCAATTCTGTAGGTCCCACTTCCCTCTGGAGAAGAACATATTTGGATATGAGCGTATGTGTAGCCTTGAAAAGCTGATGTTATGGGAATGCATTGGCTTCAGTGTTCCTCCTCCAAGGGTTTCTCTATGGCTCTTTGCTGCTCGGCAGAGTTTTATCTGGGATGTCGCACTTGCACAACAAGCTGGCCTTTTCTCTGAAAAAGCTGCCTGGCCAAAGGAGCTGGCATCTGCAGCCATCTGGTATTTTTGTGAAGGCTGAGGATGTTTTTTGTGCTTGATCAGGCTCCAGTACCAGAGTGATTCTTCTGATGTCTAAAAATCTGGATTCAACTTTTAGAAAAGAGGCTGCACTTTGCACTTTGCCTGGGAAAGGAAAGCAAAGCGTGAGCGTCTCCTTGGGCATACT